CAATCGCATGTGGGCAGCACCCTCCCCTACCCCACGGTACCCGAACCCACCCATAGGCGCGCACCTCGTCACCTTGTTCGACTTCTCGGACCTCTCCAGACCTTTCCTGGAACCTTCCTGCAGGCGCGCACCTCGTCGCCTTCTTCGACTTGCGCGTGATCGTCGACCTACAGCTAGACCAGTGGCACCTCTCGTGGCGGCACGGCCAGCAGGCGCGCCGCAGGCTGATCGACGCGCTGCTCTGGCGCACGTCGGTCGGCCAGGCGGCCGACAACGCCGCGCAGGACACCGCCTCTTAATCTCGGCCACCTCGGCTAACACCTCGGCCACATCTCGGCCGTATCTCGGCTCTCCCTCGGCCATACCCCGCCTGTACCTCGGCCACATCTCGGACCGCGCCGCGCAGGACATCTGCCCGCCGCGCGCCGCTGCAATCAACGCGCGCCTCCGCCGCCGCCGCGGCGGCGGCGGCGCCGCGGGCGGCGGCGGCGGGGTGGGAGGAGGTGGGATGGGAGGAGGTGGGGTGGGAGGAGGTGGCAGCGGCTGCGCGATGGGGCGGGAGCTGTGCTTCGGCGGCGCAGGGTTAGGGCTCGGCGTTGGCGGTGGGTCAGTCGGCAGCATGGGGCGAGGCGAGATTGCCCGAGATCGCCCGAGATCGACCGAGATGCGCCGAGCTCACCCGAGATGCCCCGAGCTGCCCCGAGATGCCCCGAGATGCCCCGAGATGCCCCGAGCTGCCCCGAGCTCACCCGAGCTCACCCGAGCTCAGGTGCCGACGGCGGCGGGGCGATGAGTGCGGTGGAGGCGGCCGAGGCGGCGGACGAGGTGTCGCGCTCCAGAGGGGGCGGAGAGGAGGGCGCGCCGCCGAAGCGGGACGCCACCCTGACGCCGCCGCCGGCGGCGGCGGCGGCGGCGGCGGCGGCGGCGGAGGACGAGGAGCAGGGCGACGGCGGCCCCTATCTGCGCTCGTATGTTGCGAGGCGCCGAACCGCCGCCGGCGCTCTACGCGAGGTGAGCGGCGCCGCTCTCTTCCGTGCTGGCCTCCTCGCTGCGTTTGGAGGCGCCGTCCGGCGCGGCTGGACCGGCGTTGGGAGAGGCAGCAAGGAGGGCGGCTCTCGCGCCGCGAGCCCACGGCCGCAGGCGCCGCAGGCACCGCACGATGGGCTCCTGTCCGTCGCCACTCAGGCCCGCCCCGCCCGCCCAGCCGCTGATTCGTCCGATTCATTCGTTATGAACTTGATCACTCAGCAGGCCCACCCCGCCGGAGAGCCCGCGCGCTGGCTGCACCCGCTCGGCCGCGAGGCGCTGGCGGAGGCGTCGGCGGCGCTGCCGAGCGAGGCGGTCGCCGCTGCTCTCATCGCCGCCACTCGGCTCGCCGCGTGGCTGCTGCTCCCTCGCCGTCGCAGAACGGACGAGGCGGGTGGAGGCAGTGGCGGAGGCGAGAGGGAGGGCGACGGCGACGGCGATGGCGAGGGGAAGGGCAAGGGCGGGGCCACGGCGGCGGTGTCGCCTGAGCGCGGCGTCTGGCACGTCGTCGAGGTGTTCGGTTTGGACCACTTTGGCGTCGCGGCGCCGTCGCTGCTGGCGGACCGCGCCGCGCGCGACCTCTTCTGGCAGTCTCACCTCCGCTGGCTCGCGCAGCTCGACGTTTGGCACGCGTGCCTGTGACGGTGTTTTTCGCGGTTGTGTGTTTGTGTCCATTGTCAGTGTCCACTGCAACTTGTTCCACCACCGCGAGGTCTGATTGCCTGTGTGCCCTGTGTGTTAAAAAAACTGTTCAGTTTTCAAAGGCAAAAACGCCAGCCTACGCCCTCCCCTCACACTGACACTTCTCCCCTATTCCCGTCTTTAGGTTGCGCACATCTCCCAGCGAGCTAGGTTCTCCGCTTTTTCTCCCCTAGTCATCTGCCCGCGCCGCGCGCCTCTGTGGGCGTCTAGTGCAGCCACTGACAGAACTGTTCCAAAGGAGTGGTCAACGTCTCGCCTGGTCGGGTGGGCTCGCGCACTGCTTAGCCCTAGGGGAGGGGTGTGTGTGAGGTGTCGGAATGGTAAGGTTTCAGGCCGCCAAGGTGTGGGGGATTTGGGGGATGAGTCAGGAGCCAGCAGCCTTCCTGCTGGACCTGAGTTCACAGCTCCTCCGCCCGACGGGGTGGTCCCTTGGATTCGGGCCCCGCTCCCTTTTCCTGCGCCTGGTCTGTCCCTGTCAAGTGTGTGTTGCGAGATGCAGAGCTGGTTAGGCTGGAGCGCGGGCGGTGCGGTGGCAGGCGAGGGCAGCGCGGTAGGCGAGAGGCGGCCGCGGGGCTTCGAGTGGCGCGATAGGAGGGTAGGCTGGCTGTGGAGGGGCGCCGCGTGGCCTCGGCAAATGAGTAGTGCTTTATGAGCGGCCAGTTTTGTGCGTATTGCAAATCGAGCCTGCGGCGTGGCCTAGTTGGTGCAGCGTTCGTGTCGGGGACGTTTTGGTCGTTGGTTCGAGCCCAGCTGGTGCAGTTCGTAGTCGCGTAGCGCGCGGGTGCGCGGCAGCCTCGGCAACCGAGGCGACAGTGGCGAGCAGGGGCGAGCAGGGGCGAGCAGGGGTCAGAGCAGTGCGGCGCGCCGAATTTTTTTCGATGGGCTCGGTCAGTGGGCGTGTCAGGAGGCGGCCGGCCGGGAGAAACTCGGCAGTAAAACTCCCGCGCCGGCCCAGGAGGTGGGAGTGTCACGGAGGCGGCCATTGGCGCGCGCTCCTTGTCTTCGTGGGTCCGAGTTTTTTTTCTGTGCCCTGTGTGTTGGGCGAGCAGGTGAAAGACGTCTCTGTCTCACTCACAGTCACCTCGTCGGCCGTGCCCGGGCAGGTTCCACGCGTTCCCGGACCGCCCCGTTGGAGGTAGGCCGCTCGTCTAGCCAATCAGCCTTAAGCGAGCGGTCTGGCCGTTGGAATGGCCTTGTTGTTTAAATTCTTGTAGGTTGGTTTTCAAAAATCTCTCTCGAAACTCGACAAACGGAGAAAAAGTCGGGCCCGCGCCCCTGGGCCGCGTGTTTTGTCGACTTTTGTGGCGATACCACGAATCACGCTACGAAGAATATAAAAGAATTCGATAGCAATATAAAATAAAATAAGGTTCCTCCCGCACGCTTTTCTGGTCCCGCGCTAGGGTGGGCGACGGCTAGCGCATCACACACCTCTCCTTAAAATCCCTGTGTGGTGGCGACGTGCCTTGTTCCGAGCGTGCTGCGTTCTCGTGCTTACAGTGTATACCGCGAGACCGGTCCCGGGTCCCGCGCGACTTTGTTCGCAGTATTGTCACCGACACGACTCGTGATTCACGGACGGCGCGCCGCCGGACGCGGGCTCGGTCGAGCCTCGAGCGGGCGGGGACGGGGAGGGCGGGGTCGGAGTCGCCAATCAGCAATCTCGACCCTCGAGTCTCGACCGTTCTGCGTCGCGCCATGTTTTGAAACTTTTACTCCACCCAACACACATTTCGTTTTCGAGCAAGCGGGTGCCTGAGGATCGACGCCGTCGTGCCTCGAGCGGACGTGACAAGGTTCTGTGCACTGTGGGAGCCTGTGTGGTCACCGGCCCAACTGTGCACCCAGCAACGCGTCCGCGTGTTCCTTGCGCGCGGCCGACAGCTCATCGCCCACGCGCGCGCACTCGGCGAGGCGCTCGCGGCGCACCGCGGCGGCGTCACTCGTCTCGTTGGGCGCCGCGTTCTTGAGGTCGAGCGAGATTGCGTTCAGCTCCTCCTCGAGCGCGCCCAGCTGCACCTGTGCCTCCGCAGCGTCCAGCAGCCGCTTGCGCAGCCGCAAGGTCAGCTTGCCCACCCGCTCGCGGAGCTCGGCGAGCCGCGCCACGCCGTCCTGCGCGGTGAGTACGCCGACATCAGGGCGGGAGTGCGGTCTTCAGAGCACCGCGTAATACACGTGCTACGAATACAGCCGAAGACGGCGGAAGAGGGCGGACGACGGCGCCCAAATCTCCTCATATCTCCCCATATCTCGTGCCTAGAAGCTTCTAGGCTCGCGCGCCTGCACTAGCGCCTCGCCCTCGCGCTCTGCATGGTGGCGCCGCTTGAACAGCAGCATCAGCCTCCCCCCTGCGGGCGCCATGCCGAGAGCAGCCACCGTGGCGTCGTCTGCCGCCTCCTTCCCCTTGGCCAGCAGCCGCATCGCCGCCGGCTCCGCACCGCCACTGACGAGCGGGGCGAGCAGCGCCTTGAGGGAGATATGGGGAGATATGGGGAGATATGGGAGATGTGGTAAGATGTGGGGAGCGGGGCGAGCAGCGCCTTGAGGGACAGGACGGTGCTGTGCGGCTCGCAGCGCAGCTCGAACTTGCTCGCGCCCTGGCTGACGGACAGCAGCACGGGGCCCTCCCCCGCCGCCGTGACGGCGCCTCTGCCGCCGACGCCTCCGCCTCCTGCTCCGCCTCCGCCTCCACGCGGCTGGACGCGATCGAGCGGTGTCTGCCTCTCGCCGCCGCCCGCGAGGGCCACTGTGCAGTACAACTGTGGCGGATCATCGGTGTGTATCGCCTGGACCACCGCTGAGTGGCGCTCGCCGCCCGAGTCGAGGTAGTCCACCTCGCAGCCAATCGACAGCCACGGAGGCGCGCCGAGCGGGCGGGAGTTGGCGGAGGTGGCGGAGGCGGGAGCGGCCGCCTTCCCGCGCTGCTGGAGGCTCTTTGCTCCCGCCTGCGAGCGCATCAGCATCAGCTTGCCGCCGTCGGCGAGGCCAAGCGCGGAGAGCGGCGTGGCGTCGGGCGGCGCCTTCCCTTTGGCGACCAGCTTGAGCTCCTCTGGCGGCAACGATACAAGTGGCGCGAGCTGCGCCTTGACGGCGGCGAGCGTGTCGGCGGCTTTGACCTCGAGCTCGTGCTTGCCGCCGAGGCCGACCACGGTGAGCTTCATGACACTGGTGTGTATGCACGGCTGGTTGTTGTGGATGAACCCGATACCAATCGTCCGGACCGCGGTGGTGCTTCTTGGCCGGCAGAGGCGAACACAAAATACTCTCTCTTTTCCGGTTATGGTACCCTTTTGGTGCTGGTAGCGAACCGACGCTGCTTGACCTGCCAAAGTCGGTTCGCTCTCGTCACGGTCGGGCGTGCGAGGCTCCTGTGCCTCCGGTGAACCGGCTCATCTCTCCGCCGGTCGCCAGCACCCGCGCCACCGACTAGCTGCGCCACTCGCGACGCGCCCACCTCGCTCACAGCCTGCATACGCTACTCCCGCCGTGCCTTTGCTACCACATGGATCACATGTCACTGCAAACGCGCCCGCAGCCGCGCCGTAAAGGTCTGCCGTGCTGGCTGACGATCTCACTCTCCCGCTCGTATTGCATCTGCCTCCAGACACTCAGCCAACCTGGCTGCCACACATCCTGAGCGAACTTCCCTAGTCACCCGCGGCCGGACTCCACCCGGCACGCGTGATTGATTGATTGATGGGAAGGCGAAACACAGTCCGACCAACGACTGGGACACCAACGCGGTATGGGTGGACGCACAGGACGGGCGATGACGGTCACGCGTCGTATGTATGTAGGAAGGTGAAGAATAGTCAGGCTCGGACTGGACACCGACGCGGTATGGGTGGACGCTGGACAGATGATGACGACACGCACGAGCGACACGAGTGAGTGAGTATTCTTGATACGAAACCACGACGACACACACCAGTCGACTCGCATCGGTTGCCTCCATGAACGGCGGAGCTATTCTCGCGTCCACACCACACCTGGCTCCAACGTGGACACGCCCATAGCTGGGGACACTACTAGGTCACGCATGGCATCACAGAAGTTTTATCTCTGGGCCCCGAAAGGCATCTCTAGCAGTGTCGTTACACATGCCCCCTCCCCTCCTGGGCGCATGCGCCTCACGTCTCGCCAGAGCATAAGCCCTTGGCGTGTGGCGAGACGAGTTTTTCGCCATCGCCGCGAGCAGCAAACCGCCCGCCGCAAACAGCCGGAGGCCTCGCCGCGGCACTGGCTGCGCCGCGGTCCCGCACCCGTCGACGCAGCTCCCCCCGCGGAAGACCGCGCGTAGCGACGCCTTGTCGATCGAGATGGGCGCGCCTGAAGCTCGCCCACCTACTGCCCCTGAGAGTTGGTTACGAGTGGGATCAGCTCCCCCCCTTGGGATCAAAGCTTCCACGACCTCGCACCCAACATCCCAGGCGGGATCAGAAGGGGACTCCACACCGGACACCGCCCGGGCACAGCCCCCCTACCCGTCGGATCGCACAGAGGGCCCCCTCGGAGCAGCCCACACACAATCACGCATCGGCAGATTGAGTGCCTGAGTCAGGCAGACAGCACAGACAAGAGGAGAGAGCGGAGAGAGAGAGAGAGAGAGGAGAGAGGAGAGGGTGAGGGTGTGAACACACGTGAGGAGTGGGGGAGGGTGTCTGTGGTGGGTTGTAGTCATACTACGTGGTTAGAACCACGCACCCCTCAGGAGCTAAGGTAGAGTGTTTGGGTGTCAAAACACCGGGTCGGCGCCAGGCTTAGACAGCCTGTCGCACGACGGGTTGACTGCGAGGCAGTCCGAGCACGAACTAGTCGTCGATCCGCTGACGATCCCCGCCGCTTCACCGTCGGAGCGGCGGCGGGTGAGAGTTAGTCAAAGGTCCACCACACAGCCTCCAGCCTCCAGCCTCCACCTCCACCCGCGAGCCGCCACCGCTGCCGCCCGCGACGCCGCCCGCCGCGTCAGATAGCCGCGACGCGCGCACCGAGTCGAGTCGGAGAGCCGCGCCGCACCAGCAGGAGCATCTGCACCACCAGCAGCAGCAGCAGCACCACCACCACCACCCGAGAGAGAAGCGCACCTGCCCGACGCCGCCCGCCGCGTCAGACGCTCGCGACGCGCGCGTCGAGCCCAGTCGCAGAGCCGCGCCGCGCCAGCAGCAGCATCTGCACCAGCAGCAGCACCACCTCCACCACCAGCAGCAACAGAGACAGGCAGTGCAGGCGCAGAAGCGCTCTCAGAGCGGCGCGCAGCGCCGCGCACGCCACGCTGCGGACCGTCGGACGAGCGCACCGTACGTCGGCGGCGAGCCGCGTCACACACACACACACACTCACAGGGCCCAACAGGAGAATAGGTAGGTCAGAGCCGCGTCCAGAGACCTCGAGAGTTCGAAGTCGCTGCCGCCCGGGCCTTTTTGGCAGTGTTCCCTCTTGGGGCGGCGCGCGTTCGAGCGAGGACATCCCAACACATATGCCGGTTTACGCTGCGCCCAACCCTCCCAGCCCTGCGGCCAGCGACCATGAGCGCGGCGCGCTGCTCGACAGCTCCGAGCGAGAGCTGCCGCCGCCTTCGATGGACGAGCAGATTGAGGCTCTCGACACTTCCTATGTTTAGTGACACACGCATGCTCGAGGGGCTCTCTGCTGGTGGTTCAGATCCGCTCGTGTGTGCGCTCTCACAACCACAAAGGCTGTCTTCTTCCCCTTACCTCCTCCTTCCGCCTCTGCCAGGCCGCCGGTGCCTTCGGGCGGGCGCAGCTGATCACCTCGGCGTACGCGTTCGCGGCGTGGACGGTGCACGGCATGCAGGTCATGTCCATGGCCTTCACGGCGCCCGTGGCGGCCGCCGAGTTTGACGCAGACCGAGGCGGCGGCGGCGGCGGCGGCGGCGGCGGCGGCGGCGGCGGGTCGGCGGGCGACGCAGCGGCGATGAAGCTGACAGCGAGCTTCTTTTTCGCTGGCTGGATGCTCGGTCTCTCGCTTTGGGGCGGGCTTGCGGCCCTAGAATTCTTAAGAGACATAGCGGCGGTCACAGCACACTGGGACGACACACTGGCGTGAGCTGGTGCACACTAGCACACACACACACACCGCCGGACGCATCTCTGGACACATCGAGACAGACAGACACACACACACACAGAGAGAGAGAGAGACACACACACACACACACACACACACACACACACACACACACACACACACACACACACACACACACACACACGCACACACACAGCCACACACACACACACACACACACACACACACACACACAGCCACACACACACACACACGCACACACACACACACAGACACACGATCACGCATCCCTGTACTCCCGGCGAAATGTCGAGATGACACGTGTCCCGCTGTGCCATGTTCAGCTGCACTGTTCCGCGGCAATCATTCTCATTGTATTCGCCTCCCTCGTATTCCCACGGCGCTCTGAATACGCGGCTCAATACCGCCCCCCCGACCCGAGGTCGGCGTTTCACGAGGCAGACTCGCGGCGCTGCCTGATTTCGTTTCTCGCCACCGTTTTAGGCGCGCCGCACGGCCGTGTTTTCCTTTTTTGAGCCCGACTTCTTCTTCACTCGGCACTTTCTTTTCGTAGGCTTGCTGCGCGGCGCGGCTGGCTTGTCGCCCTCGGCGCCGTCCAGCTCTGCGTGGTCGCGTTTGGATGCGCGACCGCGGCGTGCGGCGGGTTGGCACTGCTAGAAGCGGGAAGATCTCCGCACATCTCCCCACATCTCCCCACATCTCCCCACATCTCCCCACATCTCCCCACATCTCCCCACATCTCCCCACATCTCCCCACACCTCCACACACCTCCCCACATCTCCCCACATCTCCCCACATCTCCCCACATCTCCCCACACCTCCCCACATCTCCCCACATCTCCCCACATCTCCCCACTACGGCATGGGGCGCCTAGAGGCGGCGCACGTCTTCTTGTCGCCCGCCCAGCGGCCAGTGTCTAGTCTAGGACGTGTCCACCGCTCAATGTACTCCGATCCCGCCGCTCCACCATCCGGCAGCTCTTCGGAGTGTCTAGTCTGTGTGTCACACTGCGGAGTCTGTGACACTCTCTCTCCGAAGAGAGGGCAGAGGACAGAGACACGTGCGAATCCTCCGCCAGTGAGGAGGCAGCGGAGGAGTATGGCCGAAGGCAGGCAGATGGGAAGCGAAGCAAGAAACCGGGGCAGGGAGACGCACCAGAGCCCTCTCCCTTGCACTCTCCTGTCGCTGCCCAGGAGGTGGCTTCGCTAACTATTACCCACCGCTGCGAGGGCACTCCTTTAGCCGCGTGCGACCGTCTGCAGCCGTACCCACTGTTACGTCTTCGCTCCCCGCGGGAAGCCCCGCGCATAGGACAACAGCGTCTGTCCCACAGGCGCACAGGCGCACACGCACACATGCATGGCTCGGGCACCCCCCACAGTGTAGTGGTGGTGGTGAGCACACAAGTACTAGCAGAGTGCACACATGCCTTGCCCACCAGCCGTACGCGCTGTCCTCGTATCCCTCGTGTGCTCCCGCGGTGCTCCGAGTGTACTGCACGACCTCCCCAGATCTCCCCAGATCTCCCCAGATCTCCCTAGATCTCCCCAGATCTCCCCAGATCTCCCCAGATCTCCCCACACCTCCCCACACCTCCCCACATCTCCCCACACCTCCCCACACCTCCCCACATCTCCCCAGACCTCCCCAGATCTCCCCAGGCCTCCCCAGACCTCCCCAGACCTCCCCAGACCTCCCCAGACCTTGTGTACTCACGCGGTGCTCCAGCGACACCGCACCACCGCCCTCGATGTTGGTGCACTGACCACGAGCTCTTGCACAATGCCCCCCCCCCCCCCCCCATGTTGAAGCCCGGGGTTCCCCCCCCCCCCCCCCCTCCCGCCCTCGCCCTTGATGTTGGTGTACCGATCCATCCACGCAGGCCGCGCTCCTTCCTCCTCCTCCGCTTCCTCTGCGGCTTCGCGGAGGGAGGCGTGCCGACGACCTCCTTTGGGTGAGGGCGCGTGACGCGATTGCAGCGAGGGCAGTGAGAGCGCGTGGCACAAGCACAGCACTGAGAGCGCGTGGCACGGCTGCTGCGAGAGCGACGCGGTTGATTGCAGGTGGGCGGGCGAGTTTATGCTGCCGCGCAGCAAGGCGCCGAGATCACCCGAGATTGCCCGAGATTGCCCGAGATTACCCGGGCGAGGGTGCCCGAGGCTTTCCCGCAGGTGCGAGTCGGCTTCGCGCTCCTCATCGGCGTCCTCACGCCGCGCGGCTCGCGGGCGAGATCACCCGAGATTACCCGAGATCGACCGGGAGCACCCGAGGTCATAGGCTTTCACGTCGGCTCGCTGGCGATCACCGTCGGCGCCTCCTGCCTGCCTTGCAGAGCTCGGCGGCTGCTTCTCGAGAGAAGTGCCCTGTGCACGCGGTTCTGTACGTGGCTCTGTAGGAGCGTACTCTTTGCCGCACGGCTGGCGGCTGCTGAGCGCGGCCACGTCACTGCTCGCGCTGCCGCTCTCCCTCTGCGCCCCCTCTTCCTGCTGCCCGAGGCAGGGGAGGAGACGCGCGCGTCAGGCAAAGGAAAGCTGCGAGCAGGCGCCCTCTTCCTGCTGCCCGAGTCGCCGCGCTACCTGCAGCGCTCGGGGCGTGCGGCGCAGGCGGCGAGTCTCTCCCTCCCTCTCTCTCTCTCTCTCTCTCTCTCTCTCTCTCTCCCTCCCTCTCTCTCTCTCTCTCTCTCTCTCTCTCTCTCTCTCTCTCTCACTCTCTCTCTCTCCCTCTCCCTCTCTCTCTCTCTCTCTCTCTCTCCCTCTCCCTCTCTCTCTCTCTCTCTCTCTCTCTCCCTCCCTCTCCCTCTCCCTCTCTCTCTCTCTCTCTCTCCCTCTCCCTCTCCCTCTCTCCCTCTCTCTCCCTCTCCCTCTCTCCCTCTCTCTCTGTCTCTCCCCCTATCTCCCCCTCTCTCCCCCTATCTCCCACCTATCTCCCCCATATCTCCCCCTATCGCCCCGTCTCACAGGCGAGCTGCTCGAGCACCCGG